GAACCTGTTACCCAAGGCGAGGGGGACATTGACCCATTGGTGGGAAATGGAGTCATTTCCCATTGCCCAAGAGCACTTAAAGTCAACAGCTTTTCCCTGGAGGAGGGGGTGCAATCTGCTTGTGAGGGAGAAGATGGAGGCCTGCAGGCTGGTGAGATTTTCACCCTCTGAGCAAGGACTATAGCCCTTTATCTCTATGACCATGAAGAGTTAGGGCTCAGTCACACCAGGGATGTTTGGCTGGTGACAGGGCTGTATGGAGCTGAAACTCCTACCCCAGTGAGGCCAGCCACTTTCTTCCAGCATCAGCCCACATTCCACATGGCAGCAGCCATCCAGATAAGATGCTGGGTTCAGGTGGCCACCTCCCCATAGTTTGGGAAAGACTCACCCTTGGCTGAGCCAAAGCTACTTTCCACACACCAGCTTACACCACCAGAAGACAGGAGGGTTTGGGATTCAGGCAGGTTTCCACCGGGAAGACCTCAGAGGACCAGCCCTGGGAAGGCACAGATAGTCCCATGCACTGGACTGTTGCTGATCTGGATCATGCTGTAGGGTTTGGTTTGTGGGTCCACACAAAAGCAGGGTACTGAGGGAAACCCATGTAACAGACCCCCAGAAGGGAACACAGCATGGTCACCGTGATGGTGACTCCTGGAGAAGCGTGCCTGCCCAGGAGAGAGCAGCTCCCCCACCTCCAGCCTGCTTGGGGGATGATGCCCTGAACCACCTTGTCCCTCAGCCCCAGGTATAGCTGCAGGGGACAGTTGTGCAATGGAGTAACTGCTTTTTGAGCAGTTGAACAACCCTGTTTGTGTCTTGTGCAAAAGGCTTCCGGAAAACACAACGCAACGGCAGAGGAAAAAGGTTAAAACATGGGCAGGGGCGCAGCTCAACTCCCCACCCCCATCCTCCCCAGGGGTTTAAATGTCGGCATCTCCCAGCTTGTCATGCTCACACCTCTCGGGGACACGGCAGCATGAAGTCGGTGGCCGCCCTTCTCCTGGTGGGGATGCTCATCCTCTGGGC